CTGTAAGATATATAAAGACACCAAAATTCCCATCAAAAGTTCTGGGAACTGAATAATGACATTTCTTATTATATACCTAAAAGTAACCAAATTTCATTAAATATCAAGAAACTACATATGTAAAGATTGAAGTTACAAAAACAACATAAAAATAGCCAACATTTCATCAAATTCTAAAAATATCAAAGTTGCTAGCTAGAAGTGGACATTAAATCATTACTGGAGATAAAGAAGCAACTGTTTTGGATCTTACCATCAGTTAAGGATAAGGAAATGTTGAAAATGGCGCACAGTAGCACAAGCAGCAGCGATAAACCTTTCATTTTCGACTCCATTATTTTCTAACAGTAGTAAATAAGAAGAAGAATGACAGTAAGAGGAAGAACGGCCAATTGGTTTGGTTTGAATACAGAGAGTTGCCTTTTTATGCATGTCTACTTTCAAAAAGGCCCTTGAATTTTACGGAAATTGCACATCTGTCCTTAGTTACTACAGTATTGTTATTTTGAAAATATTTATCCCTTCTTGGTTGATGTGGCAGTGTTTGACTGGACATGATTTTTTTTTTTCTAAAAAAAAAATTCTACGGTTTAAGATCTCGAAAGGTTTTTGTAACTATATAAAGTATGCTATTAAGGGTAAATTATACTTCCTCCGTTTTAATTTATTTGAATTTATTTAACTAGGTACAAAGTTTAAGAAAAAAAAAAAATTTTAAAACTTGTGATCTAAAACAATCTATAAATATTTGTGTAGATATAAATCATTTAATTAAGGGCAACAAGAGAATTTTAAAACTAATTTATTTCAAATTTAGAAATAGTTCATTATTTTTTAGATTGACAACAAGAACAACAATACTCAGTATTATCTCACGCTGTGGGGCCTAGGGAGGGTGGTGTGTATGCAGACCTTACCCTTACCTTGTGAGAATAGAGAAGTTATTTCCAATAAACCATCGGCTCAGGAAAGCAATTTTTTAAATTGACTAAAAAGTAAATAAATTCTTCTTTTTAAAATGGAGAGAATAATATATAAAATTAAATTATTTTTTAATATAAAAATATGTCATTATTCCTAAGTACAAATTAATAAGAAAATAGTGGTACAAGATTAGGAGAAAGGGTTTGCTTAATGACAAGTTTATCCCTTTGGTTTAATATTGTTCTTTTAATTTCTAAAAATAGAAACTCTTTTGGTGGGGATGGCGAAGACAGAAGCTGAATGGAGTCACATGGTCTTCTCCCCCCAACCTGGTGCAAAGCATCTAAAACTATGACATTGACATTTTTGGTCTTTCCTTTTCCTCCTAGACTTTTCCTTTACTCCAAAGTGTGCGCATTTAACCCAATTACGATGTTATTCTAAATTCTAATACACTACTAGAAGTTAGGTGTCCTTTAGTTTAGAGACAAATTACGCTCGTACAGTTATACTTCTTTATAATAACGGTATTTGTTTCAATATTTTTTGGATGTTATAGTAAAATATTTTATAGAGGACATATATTTTAACATAATATAAAAAATCTGTTTCGATTTGATTTTTACGGTGAAGGACTATTATATAAAAATATTGTTATAGCAATGTAAGAATTAATTACGTAGGGATTAGCATATAAGAGTTAGTAATGCATGGATTAGTATTTAAGGTTAGTGTTGTTATTTTGTAACTTAATCCATATATTACTGACTCTCACATTCTTATTTTACATTATATCTAGCAAAATATACATAGATTTCGGTATAACTTATACATGTATAAATCTCTTCAAAAACTAAACATTGTAGCGCTGACATTTATGTAAAATTTAGTTATTGTTTGAACAAAAAATATTAAACTTTTTGTCAAACTAATTAATAAGAGTATAGAGGATAAATCTGAGCCAAAAATAATTAACTCTAGATTAAACATCAAAGCACATTGGATAGGAGAATAAGATGTAGTCAAGCTCATGAACTTTCAAGATTTATAGAAGATATCAAATATAAGTAATATGCTTACATACATCATGTATTGTACTGTGATATAGAAACAAAGGAGGAACAGAGGGAATGTCGTTGATAGTTAAAAGATCTATCTTTATTGATTCAAGAAAGACGATTACAAAGATTTGTCACCAAGATCTGCGACTTCTCGTGTTCTTCTCCTATAGCTTTCTCTGGTTCTTCTGCCTTTTTTCTCTGTAGGAGAGAGATCCCCCTTTTTCTGTCTTCCTCCCCCTATATATATCATAAGTATTCCCTTTTGTCCAATGGTCTTTAACCAAGAGACTTTCCTCTCCTGATCTCACTTTGCATCGCTCTCCTAAGTATCACGACTTTTACTTTGCCGCACAAGCTTTCTGATGGCTCGATCTCGGCAGTGGCCGAGATACTCGTCGTTATTGCGCCTTGTGGGTACGACCACGGCTTAGTTGACCCCTTACCATTCCTTTTAGCGCTAATCCACATGTGGTCATATGTTGACCCATACAGTTAGTCCCTCCGCCCGTTTGGGTCGCCTCTTGGCGAGCTCGATGGGCGGACTCTGTTGATTCAAAAATTGGGAGAAATCTGAATGCTTCATGCGAGGGGCAAGAACCCTATGACGAGGTAGCGATGTGACGCTTCGAGAATTGCGTCGGACCGTTACGTCAGTTCAAAATTGGACCGTCACGTCAGTTCAGGATGTCATCAATATTCCCCATGCGTTATTATGGCGCACATTTTCTAGGTATTGTATCGTTTCCCGTGCCCTTTTCGTTTTCTAATTGGCGGCTCTTGGTTTTCTCACCTAGGGCACTTATATCCCTATAAATAGGGGGTAACCTCTCATTCGAATGTTACACTTTTCAATTGCTTGAGAAAGAACTTCACAAATCTTCTCCTCCCTCCTTAGTCTCTCATATTTCTACTTCTACTAGGATTCGCTGTGACCGTTGTCTTTTTCCTTCATCATCCTCGTTTCTTTCGATCAAAGAAAAAGAAAGGCTAGTGCTTCTTCCCACTCTGACAAGGCTGTAGGTGCTCCGGTGCCAGAATATGATATATCCCTACTCGAAGAGGGAATAGAAGTGGTGGAAGAAGAGCGGTTTCCACAGTGGATGAGGTGGTTCCCCGCCCGGGAAAGGCGAAAACTGATTTTAACAGCCCTGCCAGAGATGAGTCGAAGCCCGTTCCTTCCACGATAGATGTTGCGAAAATCATGGCATTCAAAGCCAAATGGGGGATCCCTGATCCTATTGAAATGGTACCGGCGGATAAGGACATAGTGCATTTACACCGCCCAGGCTACTGCGCGTTTTACGCATATTCCTTCGTCATGGGGTAGACGCTTCCCCTTCCTTCCTTGGTGGTGGATTTTTGCCGCTTCTATATGTGTCCGGCCCAACTCTCTCCGTATGCGTACAAGCTTTTTCTCATGCTCATTAAGTACGCGGAACTGGCCGGCCGAGGGATTTCTCTAGGGCACATGATCCACCTCTTCGCCCCCCATTTTCTTCGGGGTACGATAATTTATATGCGTCATCGAGGAACCAAGAGTTTGGTGGTGAAGATGGACGATAAGACCAATCACCGCATTTGGGAGAGCTTTTTCTATGTCCGAACAAAGCACGTCGAGAAGAACCCGGCGCGATTTCCTAAGACGTGGAATTTCGTTCGTGAGTTTTCCTTTCTGTTTACTTCATGCAATTTTTCTTAAGACGGTCGTTGGTCGTCTTCCTTTGATGACTTCACTGAGGATTTGCTTTTGTTTTTGTAGCCAAGAGACTACCTCCCCCGCTAGTTGCCGGTATCTATGAGTGGGTGAGCGCAATTCTCCCCCACACGATGGGAATTTGTGAATGGGCGCCTTTCCATGAGAAGTTTGGGCGCAAACCTCTTACAGATGAGTTGGCTCATTGTGATCTTGCTTTGTTCTCTGCTCCGTAGTTCCTTTAACCTTGTCGTTGTATGATCAAATCCCTTCTTGTTGACAGGTCAGAGAGGAGTGAGAAAGATGAGGGCTCCTGCACTCGCGTTCCGTCAACCGGCTCCCCTCGCCTGGCCCACACCAAGAGTTACTGCAAGCGAGGGCGTAGAGAGCCTGGTCGCTCATCGGACCGCATCAGCGTCCGAGACTGTACGCTTGGAGGTTGCTCCTCAACCGGAGACAAAGGTCCCCGCGGTCCGTTCAGTGGGCGAATCTCCTTGCGTTGGTAGTGGAGAGGCCCCATCGAAGAGGCGAAGGGTAGTGTTGGAAGGGGCTTCTTTAGCCGAAACGCCCTCTAGGGGCGGCCTTATTTCGACGGTACCCGAAACTGGTGGTGGTTCAAGCCTGGACACGGAGGCGACGCCCGTTGCGAGTGTTCAAGAGGCTATTGTGGCGTAGAGACGGAGTTCTGAGGCTGCCATTATTGTTCCGAGTGGACCATCGTCATCTCGGCAGAACTGCACCTCTTCTTCGGCCAATGAGAGGGGGAAAGGTGTTATAGTGGAGGATTATGAATCCGACTCTGACATTGACCCTGAGGACATGAGGATGTTCGAGGAGGCTTTACCAGAACTGAGGTAAGGGCAGAAGGCCTTTCTCGTATACTCGAAATTTCGTCGGATTTCAACCTGTTGCAGGACACAGTGGATTTGGTGCCACAGTTCAATCTTCTATGTTCCGCCGCTGAAAGCGGATCTCTTCAGGAGGTCAGCGATTCTGGGTTGTCATGTGGTGTGGCCGCGATGGCCTTAAGGGTGAGTTCCCCTTTGTTTTCTTCATTTTGTGACCTTTGTCTTTACACTGACTCTTCCTCTCCTCTCTCTTTTATTAGACTTACATGCGGGAGATAGAGAGTGCTCGTAGGGCTGAGATGCGGGCCGAGATTTTTTTGAAAATGGCTGAGAAGTATCAGCGGCATCGCAGCAGGTGCCATGAGATGCACGAGCAGCTTAGAGTGGGCGCTAGTACCAGTCCATCAGGGAGGAGTTGGAGAAAAAAGATGAGGAGCTGATGCGGTCTATAAGCAGATGAAGTGAGCTTGAGGAGCTATTTCATGCCAAAGGCGAGGAGCTCGAGGTGCGCAAAGGGGTTGCCACGGAGTGCGAGGACCTTCAGGCGAAGGTGCTATCGTTACGAGCTAAACTTGAGCAAAATACTACTAGAGTCGACTCTCTAAGTGTAGAATGGACGGAGAAGGTGGTCGAGCTAGAAAAGAAAGTGGCCGAGATGGAGAGAGCTGAGGATGCTCGAGTGTCGGCATTGGAGAGGGAGGCGGCGCTAGAAGACACTATCCGTGTCCTCAAATTTGAGAAGTAATTTGAGAGGGTGATGACCATGCTGAGGGAGGCGCGGCTCGAGGAGCGTATCAGTGAAATTGACCGGGAAGCTTCGAGCCTGAGAGACCGGATCGCAATTCTTGAGGCCGAGAAGGCGCAACTATTGGCGCAGGCTGAATTTGCCTCTGCC